AAATAGAAGCCACTAATAAGTGGTTTGTTGTTTTAGTAGTACATCATCATGCTCAATAGCAGTAAATAGTGACGATGTTCATCTGTACATATTAAATAATGCTTTACCAGAGGAGAGGACAACTGTACAAAGGCAAAGCCTCTGTTCTGGCCCGTCTGCTTGTCCTTGATGAGGCGAATGTTGTTTGATGAAAGATTAGCATATGGTGCCAGGGCTGTCATGATGGCTTCTACGGTAGTAACAGGAGCAATATTTCTCAGGATGATTGCTGTAAAAGACAAAAGTCTATATTTAAGAACAACCGACCATGGACAAGGATATATTTCTTTCCAAACTAAGCAAGACATTGCATCTATAAAAGAAATCTTTACTGTCGCCGTAGAAATCTCCACCAGGCTGAGTTTCAGAGACTCCAGTATTATTGCTGGTTTCACTTTCTGTTGAGAGATTGACAGAAGTAAGAAGTGCATTAACATAACCTTCAGGACTGTGTACACAAAGAACTGGAAATTAGGTATAAGTGTAAAAACCTGTGCTAGAAATGAGTCAGTGTTTACAATATCAGATTATTTCACAGCCTATTTCATCAACTCCATCATGTATTCCATTTTGTCCCCATTTCACATTGTCAGGTATCAAGGAAAAAAATGCATGCTGTTTCCCAATCTATGCACTTTGCCTACATCTGACAGAGTGACAACAACACAACACAAACTTTGCGTTGCATCCCAGCACTGCTGACCCAGGCTGCCCGGAAGTCTGCAGTCAGTGGCCTCTTGTTGATTTAACTACTTACCAGCTTTGGCTGCTCCACACCTGAAGCACTTCAGCCTCCTCCGGAAATTGTACAGGCCACACTGCAAGTAACCGTTCACATCATTTTTATTATACACCTACTAAAGCCCTGAACAGTGCTGCCTCAGAAAACAGGCAATCTATATTGGTGCAGCATACCATACTTACCCCGAGACACAACCTAACCATTACCGCTTATCCAAATGTAGGTGTACCACAAAATTAGCTGAAAGGACTGCAACAATTGTAGCTTATAGGCCTGATATTTATACTTATAGGCCTGTGTGTATGTGTGGTGTTCTGTAGTAGCATTGTTTGGATAATGTGGCCATATAACCAAGACAGATCATTAACTTACAGTGTTGCAGAGCCAGTCTTCATACTTGTTTCTGGGGTGACTGTAGTGCATGTCTACGCTTTTGCCTTGGATGGTCAGACGTTTCTGAAAGAGGACGACAAAAATGAGTCAAGCATTCCTGGCGAGTATCAATCTCATCAATAGAGCAAGCAGTATTGGAAGGGAGAGATGGGGGAGAGGGACCCCCAACAGATAGCCTTTGTGTTAAAGACAAGACAGGCACATGATGTATGTGTGAGCCTGATGTATAGAGGGATGTTTAAGTGTTTGGGACCCGAGTGCCCAGGCTGAGCTGGAGCAGAGTGTACAATGTGACCCTAACAGACATTTTTGACTTGGGAGAGAAAAAAAATAACACCCACGAAGATTTAAAAGATATCCCCATCTACTGAGGGGTAGGCTTAAAAAAGAGAAGTCTGAGCTTACATTCAACTGAAAAATCATTGATAATGTCTCTATCAGCAGGGTAAATAATGTGTTCATGGTCTTAAATGCAGATTCCTTAAAGAGATGACAATACAAGTAATATCTGCACCTTTGATGCTACTTCCATTACAATTAACCAAACTAAATATCTGTTAAAACATTAAGATAAATCATGAATATAATCATCTCTATTAATATACAAACCAAATCTTTTGACTCTGTGGCATACAATCCATGAGTTTTTTTTTTTTTCCAAAACCTTTCCACACTACTTATTGAATGTACTTTGGTTGCCTTTTGGGTTATTTTCCATATCTCCAAGATTAAAACTAGACTTGGCGATTGTGAAGCAACCTGATTGGTCTCCATCCATCGTGTAGCATCTTGCAAGTGATAAAAGTCCACGAAGGCGAAACCACGGCTTATACCTAGAGACAGCATTCAAATATAGACGGGAGGCGTGTTAGTTAAGAGTCCATGGGCATATAATTCAAACTCTTCCACAAACTGCTTCACGACCCAGGCCCTGTTTGGTACACAATAGGCCACTCCTTAGGAGTTTTACCATAGCAAGAAATGCTGCTGAATACCATTGTTTGAACCACACTCGACAACAGAGTGAGTCTGCCAATTGATTCTCAAAACTGTTATTGTTGCTCTTACTTACCTTAAAAAGATCCACTATGAACTGAAATGATAAGTCTTAAATCAACAGTTTAAATCCTTTTTCAAGCAACTTGATACAATTCTTTACTAGCTGCTATGGGAAAATGGGTCTGAATGGAAGCAGATTGGCCCTATGGTCAAAGACTGGGGGAGAGGTCGGGGTCCGTCATGTATCTGGTTCTCACCTGTTTTCTTTTTCATCAGCCTGACATCCACTGGCTGCGGCCCCTCCAGTTGGTCTATGGCAAAACGAATCTGAACAACAACATGCAGGTAGTAGCTTTTATATTACGATTCAAAACCTGCACACCATCACAATTTGTAGGGCAATTTTTAGGGAGTGGTGCGCACACATAAAACCAAACTAAACATAGACAGGGTTATATAACTGCAGAAAACTATGGACTTACATCATCCTCAGTGACATGAGGTGACAGACCCCAGAGCATGATGGTCTTGCTCTTCTTCTCCTCCCCAGGCTCCCTTCTGTAATCTTGTTCTGGGTAGTCTCCATCGGAGTGATAACCATCTTCTGATCTATCACTGTTACGTCGTTTCCTTCCTTCTCTTTGCTTTAAAGCAACGGGATGAGTGGATCAGTCAAATGTGGATGTCATCAAACGCCAAAGCATTGTTACTATAATTAAATTATAAAGAACGCTTACCTCTGGACTGTCTCTTGATCCTCGACGTTCTCCTTCGAAACGTTCACCACGTCTCTCGTCGCCCCAGCGGCGCATGTTGTGGTCACGCTCTTGGTCCCTCTCTCGTCTGACGCGCCAGTCCGATTCATCACGGGGCTGGTCAGAGCCATACCTACCGCTACGTTCTGTGCGACTAATCCTATTTGGGAGGAAATTGAAAGGCAAAGTAAAACAGCAGCACAACTAGCGTGCAACTGTACTTCTTTCTTTATAACATGATTCAGCAACCTCACCAAGATGATATAGATTAACATTGTACAAACAAATAAGCCTGATATCTTCCCCCTATTGTAGGGGCATTGTTTCAAGTATTAGTTTCCAAGATTCAATAATTCATTTTCATAGGAAATGTCGCAACAGATGCAAACATCTCTTTGAGATTTATGGATTAAAATCTATTTCTCTCTCAAGCCACATAGGATACCTTAATTCTGTTACAGCTTTCCAACTTGTTATTTAAGAGCTCTATAAATTGACGACTTTGGGTGCTATTTCCCTTAACATAAAGTAGGATGATAGTAAAAAAATGTTTCCTAGCATTATTTTTAAAACACTGAAGAAAGGTTGTAACATACATTTTCAGTTTGGTAGTTCTCAGATTTGGCTTAAAGAGAAAGAATGGTTAAGAAGAAATGCTAAGGTTAGGATATCTGAACACAATTTAATCTAACCGTAACGTTGTTCATTACAGGTATTTTAATTAGGACTAAAATAACACTGCCATCATAGTCAACTACACCGTGGCGAACGGCGCTAACGTTAACTTAATGTTACGAAGTTAGACTACTCACCTTTTATCAGCACCCATTTCTCGATATGGCTCACGCACGACCTCTAGAAAGCAAACATGGCAGTTTCCAATTAAGGAAACACTCTGTTTTTGTTTCTTTACTTTATTAACATGGTCAAACACAGAACAGTACCCTACAGTCCAATTATTTAGATTAACGTTACAATGAGCACAAGAGGGTGACGTTACAACAAAATGCTTGTGTAAGCTAAGTTATAACATGGACCCGATCTAGCGTTAGCAACATATATCACCCCCAACTACGCCAATGACAGGCTAAAACACTGTTTCAGTTTCCAGTCTGAATGCACAGTAACTCACCAGTGTAGTTTGTTAACAATTTGATTACCCACTAGTAGTTTTTTAAAATGATACTCGAAAATTTGTGGGCAAGAAAATTCATCTCACGTCCAAGGACTTTCCACAACAGTACAACGACACCTTCTTTGTCCCAAGATGCACCGCTGTATAACCCGCTGCATTATGGGTAGTACGATCTTTTTGCCCCGAATTTACCTCACAGGCAGCACCGTCTCCTTTGTCTCTCTGGTTGTCTCCCAACAGGTTCTGGCGGTTTTTTATGTTTATGTGGATATTACAGATTTACAGAACATTTGGGTCGCGACCGACCACGGCTGAGATCGCAGGTTCTTACAAGGAGGAGGCATGCTACCTGAAAGGAACACGGTGTATAGAGCAAATGCTGCCTGAAAGGCTAAACTAAGCAAAAATTTACCCTCAACCACATATCCGCCATTTTACTGAGTTTAGGTTTTCCACGAGCCTTTTAGTTTGCCGTATTTGCAGTACATGAAGTGGTATGTAATCGTGTAATGCTTTAACTTAAGCAACATTTTGTTAATTTTACATCAGACTTTCAGCAAGTTGCAGTGCACACATAGCAAAATGATAAGTTACAGAAGCTACATGATTGCTATATCCCTGCTAATTAAAGGCTTACTTTTCATTGTGTTTTCAGGGTTGTTTTATTCCTGGTTCTTGTCTTTACCCTGGTCCCAAAACCACAATAACCAGTGGGAGTACCGTTTTACTAAATACTGTATTGCAATGCAATATGCATATCGTGCAATAACTTCATATTCTTACAATTTAATATCAAGCCATACAGCATACACATAAATCCATCTTTATATATAACCTTTTAATATAATTTTAAAAATTTAAGCCACTGCTGCCACCATGTATGTACAATTTTGACCTGTATAATATACTGTTTGACACGACAAACAGGAAACACAGCCACTGTTTATCCTTTATTACAGTATGCAAATCCTGAAACATCACCAAACAGTTCACTGTACAAGCAGCTCCTTAATAAAGATGACTACACAATTACTTTTTCAAGCTGGCACACAAGAATGTTCCCTCTCTTAAATCGCTGATGTGGTAATGACACTGAACACAGATGGTCAATAAGTTGTGCTGATACCAGATCCATAATTGAGCTTCACAATATTCTTTGAAACCAATACTTACAGAGCTTTTGTTAGTTTTGTAACATTGATTATGCTTGAGTCACTGACATCCATAACATACCCATATCTTCTATACAAATGTGTCATGAGAAAACAACACAAAACTCAGCCATATAATATAAAAATGGTCCACATGATCCCCAAAAAGGAGGGTGGAATCCATCACACTTTGCCCCAAAAAATCAGGGTGGGGGATGGGAAGGTAACTCGGGGATGCTATGAATTTCCATGATGAGTTCTAGGTCAAGGTTTCTCCCTTTGTCACCTGTAATGAGATACATATTTATGTAACAGCCATATCATTTTCAAACATTCAAATATAAGGAGCCACCTGATTGTTTAAATTTCAATGCAATGTGACTTACCCTCGCCTCAATATATTCAATCCTCCTCTCCAAGGCTGTCAGCTTCTCATTGAGGGTGGCCAAGCGGGATCGACACGACATATCTGAGGATGATGAATTGCGTTTAGCATTTAAGTTACAGCCATGACATTTCATGGGGCGTAGCTTGTCGATGCTGTCAATTACAACCTTGTTTGCTCACCAAAAGTGAACGACGTCAATGTTACTAATAACTATTAAAGAGAAAACATTGTATTTCAGGGATAATGCTGCTGCTGGTTTACGTTAACATTAATGACCGCCGAGCAGACTAATGTAGCGTTTGCAGTGGCGGTGTCCTAACACTGCTGTTAACGTTAGCTGTCTCAACCCTTTAAAAAAGTAACGTTAACGTTTAATGCAATGACACTTGTTAAGCAGCTAACTTGAGTTAACAAGCGATACACAGTGTAAGGTAACTCTACACCAAACTGTCACGGTACTTCTACGAGAAAACAAGCTCATAGCTAACGACAAAGCTAATTGCTAACTGGGAGTGGCCACAGAAAACATCAACATCAACGCTAGCAATAGCAAGACAGCTAGCTGATCTAGCCATATCCACATTAGCGGTGAAATTGATTGTTAATAGCTCACCGAATGAGTTAAGAAAATCGGCGATTTTTTTGATGCTGCTCGTAATAACTTCTATATATTCTCGATTCGCCCAATCTTGGTGAATCTCTCTCTGCACTGGGTCTTCCTGGCCGGCCATGTTGAATAACTCGTAGCTTGGCGTAGCGTTCAATCAAGGATAGCTCTCTGCGTTCATCCAGGAAGCACAGCGTAGACGGAACATGGATGTTTTTAATCCATGGGTTATACTTCATACAAACCACAAACTTATTTTAAAATAATAAATGTTGGGTATTACCGTTATGCACCATAAAGTAACGTCACATTCATAAATTAGTTACGTAGCGTCAGATTTCTATTCAGCAGTAGTATACTGGTGGAAGTTCACAATAACAAATAGGCTATACTCTTTTAAAAGTCCTACATCCCACCATCAAAATATAAAGTACCAAAAGTATAACTACACATCATGCAGACTGGCCCATTTCAGAATAACGTTTACCATATTATTGGATTATCAGAATCAGGAGGAGTTTTATTGCCAAGTAGTGTTTTACACACACGAGGAATTTGCTGTGGTGATAAGGTGCTATATGTAGACAAACATACAGTCAACATAAATAAATGTAGAAATATATAAATATGGAATGGAAGAACAGCGTTACAGATATATACATGTGCATTATTCTGGGTCTGTGCCCTGCAGAAGTAACGCAAGGAAGAGAATATTGTCTACCTATAAATATATAAACTGACAACATAAAAATATACAACAACAAAGATCAACAAACAACAACAAATACGTGCAACGTGCCAGGCCTGTGCAAGACATTAGATGAAACAGTATTTACATGTGCAGAGACATTTGTATCATTTGCAAGGGGGGAGTGTCAGTAGGGGACCTGGGCCTTGTTGATGAGGCTAGTTGCAGACGGGAAGAAACTGTTTTTGTGGCGAGAGGTTTTGGTCCTGATGGACCGCAGCCTCCTGCCAGAGGGGAGAGTCTGAAACAGTTCCAGTACAGGTCCAGAAGAGAAGGAAGATTGCAGCCAATCACCATCTCTGCAGAGCGAATGATAGGCTGCAGCCTGCCTCTATCCCTGGCAGTGGCAGCAGTGTACCAGATGGTGATGGAGGAGGTGAGAATGGACTCAATGATGGCGGTGTAGAAGTGCAACATCATTGTCTTTGGCAGGCTGAACTTCTTCAGCTGCCGCAGGAAGTACATCCTCTGCTGGGCCTTCTTGATGTTGGAGGTGATGTTCAGCTCCCACTTGAGGTCCTGGGAGATGATGGTGCCCAGGAAGTGGAAGGAGTCCACAGTGGTGACTGAGGAGTCACACAGGATGATGGGGGAGGGTGGGGCTGTGCTCTTTCTGAAGTCCACGACCATCTCCACGGTCTTCAGAGCGTTGAGCTCCAGACTGTTCTGGCTGCACCAGGTCACCAGATGGTCGATCTCCCACCTGTAGGCGGACTCATCCCCACCTGAGATGAGCTCAATGAGGGTGGTGTCATCCGCAAACTTCAGGAGCTTGACAGACATATATTCTGACACATACTGTAAAATACTGTACATATTTCCACACTCTTAATTTATATTTTTAGATTTTCTACTTGCCATTTTTTTTATTTTTATTATTATTTCTATTTCTTTGATGCCTTGATTAGCAAAGTAAGCAACTGTAACAACAATTTCACCTCAGGGATCAATAAAGTATTTCTGATTTCTGATAATTAGCTGTGAAATGTGTAAACACACCACTTAAATGTTGGTAAAAGTGTGGCTACTTTAAACTGGCCCACTCCTTAGCTAGCTTGTGAATTACATTATATTTTATTTGTTGATTATATTTTGTAATATTAATCTGAATTAGCAAAGTAACAAGTCACTTAAGTATTCAAATAAATGTAGTGGAGCAAAAAGTAGGTCAACAATATTTGCCTCCAAATTGTAGTGGAGAAGAAGTACAAAGTTGCAGAAAATGAAACCACTTGTCAAGTACTCTTGAGTCACTTTCTACTGCTATTCAGGTAGCTAATTGAAAGCACCTGGGGCTTATGTACAGCAGCCACCAAAATGTATTTTTGTGATGGAAACAACTCAAAGGACTGCCTTAATTTAAGTTGGTAACATAGCCAGCCACTTATAGGCCTACTTGAAGGCTGGCAGTAGTAAGCAGCTAGTGCTACTACTGCTAGTACGTTGACACATAAAGTAGTATTTAATACCTCAAACATTTTCCAGATAACAAAGAAAATGTTGAAGGGATTTTAAGTGTTAGTATGCAATTGACACAAATGACAGTAGAAGTTTATATGACATTAAATGTTTAATTCTCCACCCAATTAAGCAATTTATGATTTGGGTCATACACAGTGGCAGAGTCAGCCTTTTATATCTTCATCAGAAACTCCCCTCACAAAAATGTTTTAAAGGAGTGTCTTCATTGGGTAAATAAACTGAACAACCAGTGTGTCGGCTACTGATTAATCTTTTTGGACAGGCTGGTCATAACGGATATCCTTTACAGCTACCTAGAATGGGTTGTCAAGATCTTTACTTAAGCTTCTTAAGCAGCTCTTTAATATCTGCCTCAATGTCAATGGTGAGGAAATGTCTGCTGTAGCGCTTAAATGGCTCCCCATCAGGACCAACCAGGAACTTCTCAAAGTTCCAGGAGACATCGTTCCTACAGACGGGACTCCAAATGATGAACTTTGGATCAGTCATGAGAGCCATGGCATCATCGCAAGGGGATGAAAGCTTGTCCTTCAGATAGACAAACAAGGGGTGTGCATCCTTTCCATTCACATCCACCTTCTCAAGGAGCTGGAAGTTTGGTTCAAAGCCATTCCCTGGACGGACATACTTAAGAGACTTTAAAATTTCATCATTCTTGCAGTTCTCCTGTTATTAACAAGATAGAAACATGAAATAAATTATAAATGGGCAGTATGCCATAAACCTTGATTAGGCTAAAAGCCATGAGGTTTTGCACTCAAACTCACAAAAAGAGGCAGTACATTTCTTACTGTACTGTACTTAATTTGAAGGTATCTTAAGTATTTCCTTTTATCTATCTTCATGACAGTAGTTACCAGAATTTATGACATTAATAAACAATATTGGTTTTTCTTCTATAGTCTGATGATGCAAGACGCACAGATTTTTAGCTGTTTTGGAGCCAGAGACAGAGTATATTCTAAATATGTAAACAATATCCTCTCATAAAAAAAAAAAAAAAAACAGAGTATGTCAGCCACTTTTAAATTCACATTGCCTAACGTTACCTGATGTCCAAACTGATTGCAGGGCACACCCAGAATAACGAGTCCCTTGGCAGTGTAACGACTGTGAAGCTCGTTCATCTGAGTGTAGTCCCTGGTTGTTGTTCCTCAAAGAGACGCCACATTCTCAATGAGAACAACTTTCCCCTTCAGAGCAGAGAAACTGAAGGTTTCTCCAGACAGCAGCTTAGCTGTCAGGTCGTAAAACCTTTTCACATTCCCAGCCATTCTCACGAATCCCGGAAGAATTATTACACGAAGTTGTAGGGTTAAGAGGAAAAAAAGGGAAGTTTTACCTCAGGCTGTCCAACGTCAACAAGGTTAAGCATGTGAAGTCCAGCCTTCAATTTATTCATGGGGCGGGTCTTATACCAACTCCAACTCGTTAAGGCTCAATTACCATATTTGAAATTTAGTAAACTTTCCCCTTCTTTTTTGGAATATCCATAAGATAATAATATCTTATGGATAAGAAATAACATTTTTTCAGGTAATCCGTTGTTTGTTAATGGTCTACTGTTTCTGATCACTGTACACATTAAAATCCTTGAATTGTTGTGTCTACAATTGTCGACTTTAACTTACATTCAAAATGAGTTAAAAACCTAAAAAAATGGAAATGACGGGGTATCAAAAAAGCTGTCACTTAGCGAACATTTATCAAATGGCCAGGTGCGAATATTGACTGTACATATAGACCCACACTATCAGTAAAACGGAATTATAAAAATATGTTTGCCATGGATATGTTTTGTTTCTAAGCGTTTTACAAGTTTATTTGCAAATAAATTCACCCCTATGGTCGGCATAAATGGTACTTTCCCGGAAGTCCTGTTTAAGGTGTAATCTCTGAGACTGGTGGTTTAAGTTCAGTCAAGGACAATTGCCAACTGAAAACCACCAAACGTTTTCTGAAAATGTTCGCCTGTTACAGGAAATATTCATGTGTTAAGTGTTTAGAAGAAGCTAACTAACGTTCAATAACGGTACCTTTTCTGCCTCTTAACTAAGCTATCATGCCGGACTGGCTCAGTCTGTGTGTGGTCATTAGCCTGTTGTTATGTCTTACAACCGTAGCTGGTTACATTTTGTACTCGGGACTCCTCTCAGACATTATCGTACTAACTGGCTCTGCTCCCATAAAGAAGATTACATTCGCTTACAAATTTAAAAAAGGACCGTACAAACAGTGCGGACAACTTTTTAAGGAGTCTCTCAGTATTGGACCAAAGCTTTCATGTATCGCAGTATTTTATGATGACCCTAAAAAGGTAAACCATTACACAATCATCCACCATCCGCTACACAACACTCTTTAAATGGCAGATTTTTTTACCCGTGTTTCCTGCGCTTGACATTTTAGCTTAAAAATCAGGCAGCTTGTACAATGTAAACCAGTAGTCGCCCACCAGATGGCGATAATGCCATTCTTTTAAAACGAAAGTGCTAGACCTGAATCCATTATTTCTCAGTATATAGTAAACCCTAGATGGTTTAACCAAGTTCCAGTTTAAATGTTTGTTTTTACAATGAATAATCGGTTTAGTGGCATTTCATGTAGTCTTGATATTCTGTCTTTCTAGTTTTGTCACGTTTGGCACTGATTGATTTGATTTACTTTTTTTAGTTTTCCCTTGAGCAAAATCATAACACATCTGTCCAGGGTGTGGTGTGTCTTGTGGATTCAGATGTCATAAAATGTTATCCCAAGTGCATATTGGCGTTGTCCACTGAAGGCCCTGAGATGTAAAGTTAGTCCCAAACCAGGTCAGTCTGTGGGACTCAATCACAGAATAAAGTGATTCAATAGATACAAAATAATTTTGAATCAAATCATTATACTATGGTCACCTACTCAGTGATCACAATACATCAACAAATTGTTTAAAAAAAATACCATGAAATGTAATCTCAGGTTCCTGATCTAATTTTCACACTACATTATTGAAATACATTTCTTTTAGAGTCTGATTTAATTTCACAGTTATAATGAGATCTGTTGAGTCTAACTGCCTGGCTAAGTTCTTTCAAGGTTTTGCAATAACAATCTTGTATGCTAAATCAGCAGTAGCCTTATGGAGATCATTTCAGTCAGCTTCTTCACCTGCTGGTGTGATATGAATGTGTGTTTGGTGTTATGGTTTTGTGATGTGCTGTATGTTGGGGGGGGGGGTGCATAATGCAAATGAACCATTAGGTAGTGTAACTAAACTACAGCTGTGCATAATTGTAGCTTGTCTTTTTTACTTGGGGTTTCCACGACAGCTAGTTATGTAAATCAGACTTATGTTGGCATTGTTGTTGCTCGAGAGGAGCTGAGCTGTGACAGTAGATATATTGCAAGTGTCATTATTAGATTAGATTAGATTGAAAATAATAATGATGAAATGTGTATTTATTTCATATAAATGGCCAATATTTTTCTTAAAGATCAAGGGTCAAAATGGGGAAGCTTATAACACTTATGTGAATGTGAGTGAAGCTCTTGTGGGTTCCTTTGCTGTCACGCCAATGTTGCCAAAAACACAATTAGTGTGTTAGATTTCCCTGTGAGATGTTTTCCTACTTTCCCAAACCGTTCCCTGTGTGAACTCATCCATCCCAAAATCCCAGTGTCTATAAACAGCAGGAGATAATATCTGCTGGGTCTGATTTTCTGATACCTCATCCTGCTCGCTCTCAGAGGTCTCCAAAATCATGTGGTGCTTGTTCCCACAGTTTAAAGTGAGTCCAGCATGAGTTGTTTTCAGATGGGCTCTGCTTAAACAGAACGAGAAGGAATGAGAGTAGCACCTTGAAATGGTTAAGTGGTACAGTTTGATGCATTGTGGAGGGTATGAAGGTTCAGTTAACAAGGGTAGAAAACAAGGGCCTGACAGATTTGATCTTTAGAAACATGATACTGACTGTAGCACACTGCATGTAGCTGGCTGTCATATCCCTAGCAAACTTCTGACCTCGAGCTACATGACATAGAAACATGCACTGCACTGGGAATACAATGTAGAGATAGGACATATGAGATAAGATATATATATATATATATATATATATATATATATATAATAAGATAAAATAATAAAGGACTTTAGTTTGTATATTAGTGCTGAAACTAATTAGAATGAATGGATTAATCAAGGAGATTTCTTTATCATTATACAACACAAGGCTGTACAATAAAAATAAAGTTTGTAGTCCCTTCATGCTGCACATCGAGCACATCACATAATAACATTTGAATTAGAATAGGGAACACACACACACACATATATATATATGTATGTACATATAATCATAGGCCTATACAGTTATTTATACACACAGGAAATAATTCTGCAATGCATTTGTGTCTGCGATAATGTAAACAGCAGCAACATTTTTTTGTTGATTTCCGATTAGTTCATCAATAGAAAATCAGCCGGTAACAAATATTTAATACTCGATAAACCATTTAAGCAATTTATTAAGCTAAAATGCCTATCTGGTTTCAGCTTCTTAAATGGGAAGATTTGCTGATTTTAATCTCATTGTAAACTGAATATCTCTGAGTTTTGGAACGTTAGTCGGTTGAAAAAAAAACATTAGTTAAAGCGATAATATAATGAATGTTTTCATCTTAAATGATTATATAGCGAGATGTTTCTGCATTCCTCATCGATATAAATGGGGAGGACAAAACAGTTTCAACAAAAACTGAACTTTATAACTTTCATCAAGGTAGGGTTTATTGCAGGGCTGTTGCTTGACATGGACATTAGTTTTAGGAAGATGTACTTAAAAGGATATTAAGTGATTGGAATCCAATACGCGTTTTGATAATTTCAGCAAATATTTCCTCTCCGTGTTTTGTGTGCTCTGAAAAAAAATCTGTTTTTCCTTTACAGCCCTGGCACTGTAAAAGGAAAACAAAGAAAGTGGTGTTGACCTTCCACACAACATTGTTCCAGCCAATCAGCAACAGGTGGCGTTAGTGCTCGAGCCAATATTATATAGCTGCAGTACCAGAGGCTGCAGTTTCAGGACCCCTGCAGTCCTGGGACCACAGTTCTTTTTTGCAACAGCGCCATCTGCCTCTCCTCCTCTTCTTCCCCATGTTACATACCTCAACTACTGAGTCAATTATGTTGAGACATCTCTGTCACCATCACTCAATTCTAATATTACAACAATTCTGAAATATGCTCATAGCTACAATTTTCAGAACTAGTTTTCAACAGTATTGACTTAATTGGCACTGTTTAACTCTGCCATAGCCCGATGCATAACAACCTGATGGAATATAACCAGAGTTCAGAGATGACCTCTTCCCAGCTCCGCTTCAAAACCCTTTTGTTATGCTCATCCTTTTTTCCCCAAGCCGGCAATTAGGCCAGCAGTGGGTCCTAGTTCCTCTGCGCAGTCACAGCCAAGTCCTGATCTAAGTTAAAATAATTGGTGTAATGATCTCAGCTCATTAGCATCCGAGCCTCAGGATGCCATTCTGTCCCAGTGTCAGGAGCCCCAGAGAGTGCTCTCAGGATGGGTATTTGGTGTCTAAATACTCAAGACACTGTCCATTGATATTTGTAGTGAGAACGATTTTCAAAAGTGCAGCTGACAGAGGATAAGTGTCAGCATCCTCTGTTCTCGGATTTCTCACTTTTACCTCCTTTAATCACTTCCACTGGAGAAACAAAAGACCTCAACAAAGGCTTAAGTTGGTTCTGAGATGGTTGCCATGGATACAGGGCTGGAGCAGCTCTGTCTGTTCATTCAAACGGCTAACACATATTCTGGGCCCCACTCACCAGACCATTCTCCTCCACCAGCTTCTCTCTCTCAACTCTTCTCAGTTTTCAAAGCCGGAGGGTTCTGACCCAGTGTGCCCACTTCACCTCTACCCTGCAGCTCTCCTCTCCTCCTCTGCGTCCAACTTCGAAAAATGTCATGGGGAGGTAATGGGTGTGGGGAGAGGGGTGGGTCATGTAGTTTTCTGTCAAACTTGATATTCTGAGTAAGCGTTCAGGGTCAGGGTTTGCGGTCTTTGAGACATAGATTGTCTAAATAAAAAAGCTCAGTGACAAGTAGTGGTGAGATGACACATGTGTCTGCCCATCGTCAGGGACCCATGTTTAGGTCACAATATGATGAAAGCTGTGATGCAGGAGGGGCCGGTAAGGAAATGTGTATCAGTCCAAATGTTAGTCTTTGTGGTGAATGATGAAATAGTATAGCATCTCTCTAATACTTGCCCTTTTAGAATGTCATAGTAAAACATTTAACCCTCACTAAATCTGAGAGGAAAATACTTTGTATGCCGGTGAAGATTGTCTGCCTTTTCTTACCCTGTTG